AAACTACAGTGAAGTATTCTAGTAAATTACAATAATTCTCATTGTCTAGCAATTACAGGTTAATTTAAAGGCTGCCAGAAATTCTTTACACAAGTAGCTTTCTTTAGATCAGTTTGTGCATATCAGTTACTTCAATGTTTACTGTGTACCACTTTATATCTATAAAGTTGTTTGTTTGTTGGGTAAACCGTGCACTCAGCCTAGTGTGCTGCTGCTGCTGCTGCTGCTGCTGTTGCTGGTGCTGCTGCTGCCGCTGGTGCTGCTGCTGCTGCTGCTGCTGCTGCCGCTGCTGCTGCCGCCGCCGCCGCCGCCGCCGCCGCCGCTGCTGCCGCTGCTGCTGCTGCCGCCGCCACCGCCGCCGCCGCCGCTGCCTCCGCCGCCGCCGCCGCTGCTGCCGCTGCTGCTGCCGCTGCTGCCGCTGCTGCTGCTGCTGCTGCTGCTGCTGCTGCTGCTGCTGCTGTTGCTGGTGCTGCTGCTGCCGCTGGTGCTGCTGCTGCTGCTGCTGCTGCTGCCGCCGCCGCCGCCGCCGCCGCCGCCGCCGCCGCCGCCGCCGCCGCCGCCGCCGCCGCCAGTAACAAGGGTAATCTCACATATTAAGACACAAATACTACGCATCTTTCACTCTGTATTATACTCACACAATGAAACATCACTTTCATATTCTCTACATGAAAACAATACACACTTACATAAAATAACAAATTAAAGAGACATTCCTGATAACTATAGCTGAGTTCATTAACATATTTACTGCATGTAAATCATTAACACCCAAGAGGAATTTTCCAGTTGATGAACACAGGTAAATACACTACGTGCCGCCACACTATCAACTAACACCTCAATACTCCTGTATAACAAAAATAGCCCTCAATCTTCATTATTACTTTTATTATTATTATTTTTTTTATTATTATGTATCCCTGAAGGGGTACTGGTTGCCTGATTCTTTAATTTTTTTTCTTCCTCCTACTTTATAACTCTAGAACCCCTCATCCGATCGGCTTCAAATTTTGAACGCTTGTTGACGATAACGTAAACGAGATTATAGGAAAACCTGGCATATGCAGGTGCCCTCTGATTAAGTTACTGAACCCCGTCCCAGCATAGAAGAACGACTGAGATAACTTTCAAAAAACACTCAGTGACGCACCAGATCTCGGAACAGGACGAGTTAGAACCCAGGGCAAGTGAGTCCTGAAACTCCAGCCAGTGTGTAAGACACTTGGCCAACGGGCTACAATAAGATTCATCCAACTAGGTAAAGTACTATACACAATAGTGAGGATAGTATGGGCCCCATTTGCCATGGGTTCAAACCCTACATGTTCTGTGGTTTGTTGTTTATTACGACTTCGTGACAGTAGCGGAGCTTCAGACGTTCAGTGAAGTTCCTCCAATTCAGTTTGTGCAGGGCAAAGTTCTGTTAAGGCAATGTATATATATTTTTTCAAAATTGTGATTCGTTAAAACTTTCATCAAGCTGGACTGTTTTAAGAGACGAATTCTTTTAGAGAATTGGAAATAATTCTTAAACTAACACAGCTGAAAAAAAAATTAAAAATAATATTGAAAACTAGCATTTTTAAATTTCCCAGCTGAATGAACCCATAAATACTGCAGAGCGTGATGCCAGAGTCGGTCATCTCTTAGCTACACTTCTCTTAAACATTTAGGGTTTTCATTTAGAGCTTCATAACGCCTCATCTATTTGGGTTCAAATATCAAACCCTGGACATATGTTACTAGATCTAGCAATTAATAAGTGCTCTTTGTTCCATTTTATAAATACCATTCCGAAACTTATTTCCACGAAATTGCTTTAAAGATCCTCGTTTGATTGTCTTCACAATTTCGTGCATCACCAAGTAATTAACTTGTACTTATATTGTTTATAATTCGGATATATACACAGTTGTTACACATATTTTACACAGATGATGCACACGTGTTACGCAGTTGTTATAGGAGTCACATCAATGCCCACTCTCCTATTAATTATTAAGCTTCTTATAGCAAGCAAGTACGAAACATTTATTAAAATACTCGTATAAGCGTCAGGTGACATGATCACAACGTACAAAATACTGAGAGGAACTGACAGGGTGGAGAGAGCGAGTCTGTTCCTGAAGTGGGAATCAGAGACACGAGGGCACAGCTTTAAGCTGAAAACTCATGTAAATCACCGGGTTGTTAGGAAATACTTCTTTAGCCTTAGAGTAGTCAAGCAGTGGAATTACCTAGACAGTGAAGTGGTAGAGGCAGGTTCCATACATAGTTTAAGAACAGGCATGATAGTGCTCACGCAGTAGCGACCAGCAGAGGCAGGACCAGGAACTGAGACTCGATCCATGCAACCGCAATTTGGTGAGTATACACACACGTACATACACACACACACACACACACACACACACACACACACACACACACTAACACACACACACACACACACACACACACACACACACACACACACACACACACACACACACACACACACACACACACACACACACACACAGTTAACTTACATTGTTTTCCTGTAAGCTGTCCTAACTGACCAATTTGTCTGTGATAATGTTGCTGTGAACGTTGAAGCCACTTACTGGCGTCCTCCCGCGCCGCCCGCACCGCCCGCACCGCCCGCACCGCCCGCACCGCCCGCGCCGCCATCCGCCCACAATACCCAGAGTTATTCTACCAAGCATAGTCTAGGTTTAAATGGGTTAGGTTAGGTTGGTTTAGACTTGATTCTTTATGCTATGTTAGATTAAGGGAGGTTGGGAAGGATAAGGATAGGTTAGCTTAGGTTAGAGTAGGCTAGGTAAAGCTACGTTAAGTTATGGCAGTAAAGACAACACATGCCGTTGTTTATGAGCGGCATGCGTAAGTGTCAGCAGACAAAGTGTCTGCAGTGTCAGCAGACAGGCAGTCTAGATAACGTCAGGAGCAGTGTCAGCAGACAAAGTGTCTGCACAGTGTCAGCAGACAGGCAGTCTAGATAACGTCAGGAGCAGTGTCAGCAGACAAAGTGTCTGCACAGTGTCAGCAGACTGTCTGCACAAACAACAAAGTGTTTTGATAATTCACTCGAAAACGAGAAACTATTTACATAATTTTTATAACTGTTTCACAGTGTTGTTGTTAATGTCAGTGTTACTACAATTATTGATAACATTATTCTTACTATGGCGTCTATTGTTCTTCATTATTATAATAATAATGTTGATATTATTGCTATTGTTGTTGTTTCCTGTTTTATTGTTTTTTTTTTCTGCAAGTGTGAGGTCATGTTTAATGGTCAACAAGGTTTAAAGTCTATCTACTACACCAGGGTCATTAAGGTTGCAAGTAACATTTTCACCAGCAGGCAAGAATACTTTAAAACCTGACAGGATATATAAACTGATAAACATACAGTGCATATACACAGACATACAATGTATATACACTGAGACATATACGGTACATATACACTAAGAGACATACACTGAGGCAGTATATATAAACCGAGACATACACTGTATATACACATATCTACACTGTATACACTGAGACACTATATACACTGAGAAATATACACTGACACAATATAAACAGTGCATATACAGTGCATAATAGTATAATAGACATACAGTGTATACAGAGACAGTGAATACACACTGAGAAAGTGTATGTACACAGTGTGTATATACACAGACATATACACCTCTCAGTGTATACATGGTGTCAGGTGTAAGGTAAGAAGGGCGTATCAACACCTGAGGTAATTATCACTTGTTTACCTGTGACCTCACCACCAACACGCCCAGTTAGTATATTGAAGAAGCACTAAACCCACAGGAGCTCTATGGTACCTGGGGAATGGGAGGTGATCAGCTTCGATCCAAGGAAGAGGAGAACAGGTCCAATTCCTTTAATCAAAAGCCCCTCACCAGCATCAAAGAACTTTCTTTGAAGTAACCAAATCTGCTCTAATTCACACTTGATACTTACACTATATCTCACTTATACTGTCTGTCGTGTACTGTCTTACTCACACCGTCTGTCTACCTGGAGAGAGTTCCGGGGGTCAACGCCCCCGCGGCCCGGTCTGTGACCAGGCCTCCTGGTGGATCAGAGCCTGATCAACCAGGCTGTTACTGCTGGCTGTACGCAAACCAACGTACGAGCCACAGCCCGGCTGGTCAGGAACCGACTTTAGGTGCTTGTCCAGTGCCAGCTTGAAGACTGCCAGGGGTCTGTTGGTAATCCCCCTTATGTATGCTGGGAGGCAGTTGAACAGTCTCGGGCCCCTGACACTTATTGTATGGTCTCTTAACGTGCTAGTGACACCCCTGCTTTTCATTGGGGGGATGGTGCATCGTCTGCCAAGTCTTTTGCTTTCGTAGTGAGTGATTTTCGTGTGCAAGTTCGGTACTAGTCCCTCTGTCTTGTACTCTCTCACCTGTATTGTCTGTCTTGTACTGTCTCTCTCACTTATACCGTTTGTCTTGTACTCTCTCACCTGTACTGTCTGTCTTGTACTGTCTCTCTCACTTATACCGTTTATCTTGTACTCTCTCACCTGTACTGTCTGTCTTGTACTGTCTCACTTATACTGTCTTATTTGTATTGCCTCACTTGTACAAACAACAGTAACATATATAACTTACATAATTAGCAACACTAATACAACTAACATACGTAACTAACACAACTTACATAATTAGCAACACTAATACAACTAACATACGTAACTAACACAACTAACTTACATAATTAGCAACACTAATACAACTAACATACGTAACTAACACAACTAACTTACATAATTAGCAACACTAATACAACTAACATACGTAACTAACACAACTAACTTACATAATTAGCAACACTAATACAACTAACATACGTAACTAACACAACTAACTTACATAGCTGACAATAACACATAACATACATTAATTAACTTGACAGCTAAACAAAATCACTTTAAATTATTTTGATATTCTCAGAAAGCATGAGAAATACAGTGTAGAAATAATGAAAGAAAGATAATTTCCAAGAAGAAATCGATATATTTCTGCCGTGTGCCATGTACAGTGATGACACTCAAGGACAGTGTTGTGTAGTGATGGCACTCAGGAACACTGTCATGTGCAGTGATGACACTCAAGAACAGTGTTGTGTAGTGATGGCACTCAGGAACACTGAGTGTCATGTGCAGTGATGACACTCAAGAACAGTGTGTTGTGTAGTGATGGCACTCAGGAACACTGAGTGTCATGTGCAGTGATGACACTCAAGAACAGTGTGTTGTGTAGTGATGGCACTCAGGAACACTGAGTGTCATGTGCAGTGATGACACTCAAGAACAGTGTGTTGTGTAGTGATGGCACTCAGGAACACTGAGTGTCATGTGCAATGATGACACTCAAGGACAGTGTTGTGTAGTGATGGCACTCAGGAACACTGAGTGTCATGTGCAGTGATGACACTCAAGGACAGTGTTGTGTAGTGATGGCACTCAGGAACACTGAGTATCATGTGCAATGATGGTACTCGAGTTAACTTAAAATGTTTTGTTTATTTTGCTTAGGAATTATAGTGAACAAAGATGGAAAGAGGGACTCGAGTACAATAAGATAAAGATGTGGAAAGAGAAAAGTGAGGAACCAAAAATTTATTATTAATGTGGAGGGTGAAGAAACCGCAGAAGCAGGGAAGAAGAGGGCAAAAATGAGGTAAGACAACACGTTCCGAGACGAGAACTGAGAAACAGATTGGTGAAGGATAATTGTATATTATTCAGCTAATAGAGCTGGGCACTCTGAGGAAAATAAAAATAATACAAATCACGAAGGAAATAACAACGGAAATGGAAGGGAGCTTTTGAAGGCAGACAGGCAGATCTCTGAGGATAAGAGAACTTACTAATGCTTAAAGAGCATAAAGTCAGTTGAAGCTAGATATGAGGAGTGTGTTAAGATAGTTGTCAGGGTCTATTACGGAGATATAAGTCAGGTATCACCTAAGAGGAGATGGGGCGATGTGTCATCTACTAGGAAGTTAGGTACTACCAAGAACTGAACAGAAACTAGAAAGACACGTGTCACCTAGAAAAAGTGACCAAGTGCAACACAGAAAGAGGACGGGCTAACTTAGATACTACAACTAGAAAATATATAAAAGCTAATATATCAGCTAAGAAATATGTGCCAAATGAAAAGATTAAAAAAAAAATCATCAAACGAAATTGTAAACTGTAAGTTAAGAGAAGAACAAGGGTAAGTGTATCAGCTGGGAAAGAAAAAAAAGTAATAATCAGCTAGACGGAAAAAGGAGGATGTTAGGGAGGTCAGCTGGCCTCAAGCCAGATGTAGACGACTCCTCACAATACCAGCTGAAAGATGAGCCAACCAGCTGCAACCATCGTCCCGGGAGACTCACAACACTTAAGTAGTGTTAGTAAGCTAGGAGAAGCTGCAAGGAAGTGGACGAAGCTAACAATAATTAGGTGAAATGAAAGACAAACTGGTTTGTAGAGTGAAGTGGCAACATTTTTGTGCTAAGAAGTGCTCAGAGTCAAGAAAGAACAGCTGGTACATTCTATGGAGGAATGACGTTCATGATTAGTGAACAAAGGTCCTTCAATGTATAGGGAGTGCATAATAGTACTTTAATACTGTTACGGGTTCTAGTCTTAGCTCCTGGCCCAGCCTCTCAACTCACGAATTGGGACATACTATTTTAGCCACACGGAACCTATTATTCTTACTCTTAAAACTGTGTATGGACTCTTGTTTCCAGCACTTACTCGTCCAGATCGTTAGGTGTCCTAACTACTGTCAGACTGGAAAAAAGTACTTCCTGACATCCCTGTAACACATTTACGGCTGATGATAATGTTAAGTGTAGACACGACAGTGCAGCTGTTGTGGGTGGGGACATCAGCAGCTGCTGTAGTGAGCGGTGTGTGTGTACTGGCAGCCATCAGTGGTAATTCTTGGCTCACTTCTGAGGAAAGAATTCCCAACCCCGCCTACAGGAACGGTTCTTCAAGAGTGGAGCATCTTAGCAAGTACACTGTCAGCGGTCTCTTCACCCTGTGTACTACTGAAGGTCAGTTACTGACGCTGCCAATACTTCTCATACCTCTTAATGTCACTTCCTTTACCACTTGTCTGAGAGTTCCTTAATGTCACTTCCTTTACCAATTGTCTGAGAGTTCCTTAATGTCACTTCCTTTACCATTTGTCTGAGAGTTCCTAGGTGTCACTTCCTTTACCACTTGTCTGAGAGTTCCTTAGTGTCACTTCCTTTACCACTTGTCTGAGAGTTCCTAGGTGTCACTTCCTTTACCACTTGTCTGAGAGTTCCTTAGTGTCACTTCCTTTACCACTTGTCTGAGAGTTCCTTAATGTCACTTCCTTTACCAATTGTCTGAGAGTTCCTAGGTGTCACTTCCTTTACCACTTGTCTGAGAGTTCCTTAGTGTCACTTCCTTTACCACTTGTCTGAGAGTTCCTTAATGTCACTTCCTTTACCACTTGTCTGAGAGTTCCTTAATGTTACTTCTACTACTTAAGATCTCATGAATAGATTAACCTTAGTGCCAAGGCACTAACCCAGGGCAAACTAGGACACTAACCCAGAGCAAGCAACCAGGACACGAACCCAGAACCCGCACACAAGAGCGGCCTGTGCAAACCAAAGTTAAGTAAGTACCATAACTTCTCTGTTCTAGTATCACCATAAGTTGCTTGTCCTGGTACCCAACACAAGTTGCTTGTCCTGGTACTTCAACATAAGTTGCTTGTCCTGCCACCCAACACAAGTTGCTTGTCCTGGTACCCAACACAAGTCGCTTGTCCTGCCACCCAACACAAGTTGCTTGTCCTGGTACCCCAACACAAGTTGCTTGTCCTGCCACCCAACACAAGTCGCTTGTCATGATACCCCAACACAAGTTGCTTGTTCTGGTACCCAACACAAGTTGCTTGTCCTGGTACTCAACAACTTATATGGTACTGCCTTACTTTCTCTCCCACAGTGGGCAAGACAGAGTTCATATGTACCAGGATTGACTACTTTCCTTCAGAGATGTACACCCCAGATCCCCAGGATTCAACTACTGCCATCCTCTGTAAGTACCTGTAGTGTTACCACCCCTGTAAGTACCTGTAGTGTTACCACCTCTGTAAGTACCTGTAGTGTTACCACCTCTGTAAGTACCTGTAGTGTTACCACCCCTGTAAGTACCTGTAGTGTTACCACCTCTGTAAGCACCTGTAGTGTTACCACCTCTGTAAGTACCTGTAGTGTTACCACCTCTGTAAGTACCTGTAGTGTTACCACCTCTGTAAGTACCTGTAGTGTTACCACCTCTGTAAGTACCTGTAGTGTTACCACCTCTGTAAGTACCTGTAGTGTTACCACCCCTGTAAGTACCTGTAGTGTTACCACCCCTGTAAGTACCTGTAGTGTTACCACCTCTGTAAGTACCTGTAGTGTTACCACCCCTGTAAGTACCTGTAGTGTTACCACCCCTGTAGGTACCTGTAGTGTTATCACCCCTGTAAGTACCTGTAGTGTTACCACCCCTGTAAGTACCTGTAGTGTTACCACCCCTGTAAGTACCTGTAGTGTTACCACCCCTGTAAGTACCTGTAGTGTTACCACCCCTGTAAGTACCCGTAGTGTTACCACCCCTGTAGGTACCTGTAATATTACCACCCCTGTAGGTACCTGTAATGTTACCACCCCTGTAAGTACCTGTAATGTTACCACCCCTGTAGGTACCTGTAGTGTTACCACCCCTGTAGGTACCTGTAGTGTTACCACCCCTGTAGGTACCTGTAGTGTTACCACCCCTGTAGGTACCTGTAGTGTTACCACCCCTGTAGGTACCTATAGTGTTACCACCCCTGTAGGTACCTGTAGTGTTACCACCCCTGTAGGTACCTGTAGTGTTACCACCCCTGTAGGTACCTGTAGTGTTACCACCCCTGTAGGTACCTGTAGTGTTACCACCCCTGTAGGTACCTGAAGTGTTACCACCCCTGTAGGTACCTGTAGTGTTACCACCCCTGTAAGTACCTGTAGTGTTACGACCCCTGTAAGTACCTGTAGTGTTACTGCCCTTGTAAGTACCTGTAGTGTTACCACCCCTGTAGGTACCTGTAGTGTTACCACCCCTGTAGGTACCTGAAGTGTTACCACCCCTGTAAGTACCTGTAGTGTTACGACCCCTGTAAGTACCTGTAGTGTTACTGCCCTTGTAAGTACCTGTAGTGTTGCCATAACTATAAGCATCAGGACAGTGTTGCTATACCTAACACACCTCGGGATGAAGCAACACAAAGTGAATAGATATACGAGAGAGATTAAAGATTATAACAAGGGTAGGGAAAGAAAAGTTTATGTAATCTGAGAGAGAGAGAGAGAGAGAGCCTGGCTACACTGACAGCTGACAGTTTCATAAATATTCTTTTAACAATACATTTAAGAAAGAAACAATTGTACAAGGTAAAAGAGGTGCAAAATATTCCAAGACAACTATTTTAAATAACATGGATCCAAAGTAATGCCTTGGAATGATCAACTTTCTGGCAGCTGAAGTATGCTCAAGGCATATTCCCATAAGAAAAAAGAAATAAATTGGTGAGAGAGAGAGAGAGAGAGAGAGAGAGAGAGAGACGCTCTCTCTACAGAAGGCGAAGAATCACCGAGCTCCTCAAGGGGCCTGGATCATCTGAAATACGGAAAAGCACTGATCAGGGAAGTTAAATGAGTCATACAGGATCCAGGAGAGACAGAAGCCAAAAGCAATTGGTGAAATCGAAGGAAATTCAAAATATTTCTTTTCATATTCCAAAAAAAAAACAAAAAACAACATCTAGTATCGGGTCTTTCGCAGAGAGATGACAAAGAAATGAGCGAGATACAGAAATCTCAGAACGACTGTGTGTTTAGCAAGCCATTAATCAGTCTAAAGATCGACAATCCAAATTATTTTGTCAAGAACGAATCTCAAAACCCTGTCATTGTATGCCAAATTTCTGCCATAACCCTAACTCTACTAGACTTTGAAAAAAAAAAATTGACAACATGCCCATGCACTCAGCCCCAGGCTGTTCATTAAGAACTGCAAGAAATCCCTTTCGCGTGCTTTAAGTATGCTATGGAGAGGAAGCATAGACATGGATTAATCCCATAGTCTATAAAAACAACGAATATAGCCCCACTCCATAAAGATGGTAGCAAAGCAATAGCTAAGCACTACAGACCAATAGCTCTAACGTCCCATATAAAAATCTTTGAAAGAATTCTAAGAAGCATGATCGCAAACCACTTGGATTCCCAACAACTGCACAATCATGGGCAGCATGGGTTTAGAGAAGGCTGATCCTGCCTCTCGCGACTCCTGGACCACTATGATATGGTCATGGATGTACTGGAAGACAGAATGCAGATGTAGTATACACAGATTTTGCAAAAGCCTTTGACAGTTATCACTTTAGTACGCACAAAATGCGTACTATAGGGATAACTGGCAAAGAGGGCAGATGGATCTTCCATTTTCTAACCACCTGAACACAATGAATAGTGATAAATAGTTAGGTTGGAGGCTGCCACAGTGAGAAGCTGTTCCACAAGGCACAGTACTCGCCCCCCATCTCGCTCTTCATCCTCATATCAGACAAGAACAGATGTAAACCATAGCACTGCGTCATCCTTAGTAGATGCCACTAGAACTTGCACGCGACTGCCATCCATTGAGGACACGGTAAATCTGCAAGGAGATATAAGGCAAGTTTTCCAGTGGGCAACGGATAGCTATGATGTTCAATGAGGACAAATTTAAATTACTCCGTTGTGGAAAACTGGAGTAAATAATAACCAGAACTTAGTATACCACAAACTACACAACAGAACGGAAAAGTGGAGTGAAGGACTTGGGAGTGTTAATGTTAGAGGATCTACCATTCAAAGATCACAAGCGTCACTATCACATCTGCGAGGAAAATGAAATGAATAATGAGAACCTTCAAAACAAGAGATGCTAAGCTAATATTGATCCTTTTTAAATCACTTGTTCTCTCTAGGCTGGAATACTGTTGTACACTATCTCCGTTCAGGGCAGGTGAAATCGCAGATCTAGAGAATGTACATAAAACTTTTATTGCACATATAAGTTCCGTCAAACACTTAATTACTGGAACGCTTGAAGTCGACCTGTACTCGCTCGAGCGCAGGCGCATGGCACATTATAATCTACACCTTTAAAATCCTAGAGGGGTTGGTTCCAAATCTGCACATAGAAATCACTCCTTACAAAAGACGGTGCAATATACCCCCAATGAAAAGTAGTGGCGCCATTGGTACACTAAATGAAAAAAACAAAGTGTCTGGGGCCCAAGACTGTTCAACAGCCTCCCATCAGGCATAAGGAGAATTACCAATAGACCCCTGGCTGCCTTTAAGAGGGTGCTGGACAGATACCGAAGTCGGTACCTGACCAGCCAGGCTGTGGTTCGTACGCTGGTCTACATGCGGCCAGCAGTGACAACCTGGTTGATCAGGCCCTGATTCACCGAGAGGACTGGTCAAGGACTGGGCCACGGGGGCGGTGACCCCTGGAACACCCTCCAGGTAATATAAAAAGAACCAGCAAATAACCTTGCTTACCTCCCTCCCTCCCTCTTCCTATCTACAACCTCTTCCTCTCTCTAACAACCATTCTTAGCTCTCTCCGTCTACCCACAACCTCCTTCACTGCTGTCTTGCCAATATATTATGTTTATTTAAAGTAACATTTGTTATGTATGACCTGACTTTGTGTTGTGTGACCTACTGAACTTGGGTTAGTTATGACCTTACCTTTTTTCTCCTTACTTGCGGTAACCTGGGCGTGGCGGTGATGACCTGATGGTGATGTGGGCAGATGCGGTGCTGAAGTCTGCAGGTTACCTGGTGACAGCGGTGGTGGTGCTCCTGGTGGCTGAAGTGTTGTGTATCATTGCTCTCTGCTCCAGCAGGCGACCAGCACTCATCTTCCTCGCTGGAGTCACCTTCATCCTTGCTGGTCAGACAACCAACCAACATCAGTACTGAACATAACTAGTGTACATGAGTAATGAACATGAGTAGTGTACACGAGTAGTCCCCTGATCTGAGTAAGTTATCTCAGTATTGCATAACCTCATCCCCTGTACTTCAGTGATCCAAGTAAGTTATCCCAGCACAATTATTGTGATGGCCTGAAGCACGACCAAGCGTCTTAGACGCCGTGTTTTACGGCGTCGAAGACGCTGTTTTTTCCTCCCCAAAAAGTAGAAAATTTACCTAGCGTCTTGGAGGCCTCAACTTAAGCCTAGAGAAATGTTTCGACACTAGAAAGTAATAAAAGCTCCTGTATATGATCCAATAATGAATCGTGTAAATTATTTTGCATATTTTGCAATGTTTTTCTATTTCCCATTAACTTCTGTTCATCACTTTGAGCATAGAACTTCAACAATTTATCTGTTTCTTTAGGTGATAGACAGTGGTTGTTGCAAGATCAAACTCCTCAGTAAGACGCTTCATATTTACACCACTCCAACAACTTGAATTTATGATATAAACTTTATATAAATGCTTCTTTTTTTTCCTATTACCCATAGGCCTTTTCGACATTTTTAACGTCTCTACACCATAAATACAAAACACGCGGTAATCAATGAGTAATTGCTGCCGACATCAAAGTAAATGATCCATTTGTGGCGCGTCATATTAACACTGAACTTTCGGATTTTAGAATTTCGGATAATGGATTCTCCACTGTATTAAGTAACCTCAGTCTCCTATGTATGGAACAGAAACGTGTAGGTGGGTGACGACCTGATGAGTGTTACCCTAGACAGATCATTTAGTCAATCCTATCCAGGGACCAACCTTTCCTAGGTAATATAGGATTATTTCTATCAAATTGTGTTACCAGGTGTTATAGTTGGTATCTCGTAGTAGGTTATATTCCATGACAAGACCCAATATTGGTTTACATTAAGCTACACAGCATGCGTATAGCTAGGACTGACACTGCAAACTTATCGTTACCTCAGTTCCCTGTACTTCAATGATCCTAGTAAGTATCCCAGTATTACGTTACCTCATCCCCTGTGCTTCAATGATCCTAGTAAGTATCCCAGTATTACGTTACCTCATCCCCTGTGCTTCAATGATCCTAGTAAGTATCCCAGTATTACGTTACCTCATCCCCTGTGCTTCAATACATGTTACAGAAGTAGTACAGAGTGCATCATAAGTTTTTAACGCAGTTTAACATTAGAGTTGTATACTTAGAATAGATGAGAAGAGGTATTCGCAAGTCAACACATGGAAACTAATATCAATTTCTACAATTAAAATAATGGCAAATTAAGACATACACAGCCCAAATTTAATTGAGACTTTCCATTAAAAAACAGCAGCGTTGATGGTAAACTGAAGAGGAATTCTCTGGTTATCTCAGGGAGACCAATATACTAACATACACTAGCACATTCAGTTTCAAGCCGCTCAGTAGTTGCATTATTAACTTAAAAGTATGGAAGTGAATCAGATGAGGCATTCAGAAATTGTCACATGAAAAGCATTATTTCAATTCTTCCAATTTCTCCCATAAAAAAATACTATCATTTAAAGTTTAGGTAAGTTTTACTTCACCTTAAGTACATAACGTATCAAGTTATTTTACAATGGTCCTGAAGGCACACAGTTATGCATACGAAAATATATTACGTAGACCCTTTTGTCTATCCTCTCACCTCTCATCCCTCTCCCTTGTGCTATCCTCTCACCTCTCATCCCTCTCCCTTGTGCTATCCTCTCACATCTCATTCCTCTCCCTTGTGCTATCCTCTCACCTCTCATTCCTCTCCCTTGTCTATCCTCCCACCTCTCATCCCTCTCCCTTGTCTATCCTCTCACCTCTCATCCTCTCCCTTGTCTATCCTCTTACCTCTCATCCCTCTCCCGTGTTCTATCCTCCACCTCTCATCCCTCTCCCTTGTCTATCCTCTCACCTCTCATCCTCTCCCTTGTCTGTCCTCTCACCTCTCATCCTTCTCCCTTGTATATCCTCCCACCTCTTATCCCTCTCCCTTGTCTATCCTCCCACCTCTCATCCCTCTCCCTTGTCTATCCTCTCACCACTCATCCCTCTCCCTTGTTCTATCCTCTCACCACTCATCCCTCTCAATTGTATATCCTCTCACCACTCATCCCTCTCCCTTGTTCTATCCTCTCACCACTCATCTCTCTCCATTGTTTATCCTCTCACTACTCATCCTACTCTCCATCTCCCTTGTTTATCCTCTCACGTCTCATCCTTCTCTTGCTAACCCCTGGTCGTGTTGATATCTACTCTCCCTTCCTTGTTCGTCTAATCCTACTTTCCCTGCTCGTTGCTTCCTACCTCTACAACATGTTCAACAGTAAGACACATTGTAAACCCTTACAAGAGGATCTAGATATACTGAGCACAGAATGATATATGGATGATGGAATTCAGTGTAGATTAATGCCTTGTAATGTAAATTAGAGAAAGTGAAATCAGGCAATATGAAGAATACAGAATGTGACAAAATATTGAAAGTATGTGATACAGTGATCTAGGAGATATTATTAGCATTACAATATCGCCGGATGATCATAGAAATGAAACTGAGAAATTCATAGGCTACTCTGGCAAACTATAAAATAACTTACAGATATATAACTAGTGAAATGTAACGACAACTTTTTTAACTTATATTAGGCCAAAATTGGAACATGCAGCTGTTGTGTGGTGCCCACACCTGAAAAAAAATCATAGATAAGTTAGAAATTTTCAGAGCTACAATATGGCTGCCAGAGTTGAACGATATGAACTATGATGAAAGGTTGAAACCATTAAGTTGCCCATGTTAAATGATAGCAGGAAATGGGAAGAATATACTAACCATATATAAGGTCAGAGTAGACAAAGAAGATTTTTTAGTAGCTGCAACAGATAACAAGAGGCCACAGTTGCGAAATGGGGAAAAAGTAGAGTGGAGAGGATAGTAGAAAATTTTTCTTCTCAAGTAAATCGGTTGACCAGTGGAATGCATTAAAGAAAGAATTATTAAGTACTGCAACCAGTGCAAATTAAAAAAAATAATGAACAGAGTATTTATGACGGGACACCACGAGCACAGCCTTGTTACTGTAGGTACACTTAAGTAATTACTAACAAATAACTATACACCTACACACACACTTCTACACATACAAAAAAAATTTAATATCAGGCCAAGTGTCTATTGACAAGTGTCTTTGACAACTAGTAACTGCTCCTATCTAAAGACTATCTGCTTCATAAACAACCAGCGCTGTTTTAGAGTTGGCAATGCCAAGAGGGAGAGAGAGCATATGCTTCGACTGCAAGGAATCTAACAGTACTGCACAAAGAGACAGGGTCATGAGCTGAGACTTAACCCCATGCAACCACGAGCACAAATTGACGAGCACCGAGCACTCTCAGGGAAGGATGAGGAGGAAGTATGTCAGTGTGAGGATTATCGACACTGTTTTGTTATGTATACCAAGGAACAAGCTGTGTGTGGTGGGGGGTGATGTATATTGATACATACACTAGTGTGTATCCCACAGGTCTGGTGATGATGGTGGGTGTGGTGATGTACATTGCTACGCTCAAGGGAGAGGTTGGTGATAAGTTGAAGGCTCGCTCCATCTTTCAACTTCCTCGCTTCTCGTACAGCTACGGCTGGTGCTTCCTCCTACTGATGCCAGCCTTCCTGGCCACCGAGACTGCCGGAATGACTTCTATATTCCTCTACATCTACTGGTACAAGGTAAGTTTACTTCTACAGTTACAAGGTGAGTTCACACCAATTGGTCCCAGAGATGAGGGGTATTAGTTACGAGACGTTATAGCTAAACCTAAAGACAGTAGAAGTACCAGAGGTGGCATGATTAACGCACAAAATACTGAGAAATTGACAGGTCGAGAGGTGGGAATGAGATACACTAGGTCACAGCTAGAAGTTAAAAAAATGAGTCACAGGGATGTTAGGAAACACTTTTTTAGTCTTATAGTTAAATGACCTAGACACTGCAAGTGATTGAGGCAGGATCATGCATAGCTTTAAGAAGAGGTACGACAAGGCTTTCGAAGCCAGAAAAGTGAACCTAGTAGCGACCAGCGAAAAGGTGGGGCCAAGAACTGAGACTCGACCCCTGAACCACCGTCCTCCAACACATACGCACGCATACACACCTAAGAAAGGAGTGGGTTTGTATATGATACCCAGCACGGATTTAGCTCTGGTAAAGCCTGTCTCACAAACATACTACACCACGAGGCCTGGTCATGGACCGGGCCGCGGGGAGAGTTAACCCTCGGAACACCCTCCAGGTATACTTGAGTTCTACGACAAGGTAACAGAAGTAGGCAGGAGAGAGGGATGGGTAGACAGCATCTTCTTGGATTGTAAGAAGGCAACAAGTCAGCAGCGCTGAACAAGCGCCTTGGTGTGCTCGAGATCACTACAACAGCTGCTGACAACGTCATCGTGGATGTTCAACAACTCTTCTTCCATATTGTGTGGCCAGACGGCGGCAGTCCCTCAGATCTGATCACATCAATCAGAAGTTGTCTGAGTCATTCTCCAGATCGCATTCAGAAAATTAGTCTTTGACACTTGCCAAGATGTCTCTGCCAATAATTACGAGAGAATGCTACGTGCTGGTCAAGTTCCCATCGTCTACGAGTTTACTCACCAGTCCTCTGCCTAAAAAGTGGAGGCTGGCAGACATTACTATTATCTATGCCCTTTAGGCTACTAATTCTGGCAAAAACGTTATCTATGTACTTGGTGACGGCACAAATGAGTTTGTCCTGTTAGTCTATTAGCTGTATAGGGAGGAGCGGGAATGCAAGGTGTACATGGAGCGGTGGTATTGAACAGTGCTTGATAACAGTGGAGCTCACGTAGCCTATGGCCAATGTCAGCCTAGCTACTTAATGCAAACGTTCATGGTGTCATTCGTGAGGGCACATTGAGTCTTCCTGACTGCAGTATTAGTCAATAATGCTGTACATTCTCAAGATTGATGGACTAAAACATCGACTCGCCCTAGCTGAGGGCCAACTCAGACTCCCGTCTTCACACTGTCTTTCTCCGAAATGCGAATAGACGCCCTGCCGATGCATAACGGAGTTCCAAGTGTATTCTGTCCTTTATTATGTAAACACATGCCATCAGGTCGAGTGAAACTATTACCTGACCTGACAGTGCGTTAGTGTCTGACTTTTGGGATCCTATGGTTCTCTACAATATGCCCAAGTATGTATTTAGTCATGTAATGTATTGAGAACCTGAATAAATTTACTTATTACTTACTTACTAAAGACCACAAATAGTAGCTAATGTAATAAGACTAGAACTGGAGTTCTTAGCAAGTAAATGGTAGTACGACAAACTAGTGTTAACACTCGGGAAAAACTGAAGCCATACTCTTTGGCACGAAACAAACTGAGAAGGGTAAATAGTTTTAATGTCCGGTGTAATGGGGAGCCCAGCACTTCAGTTTCCTCAGTAAAATATCTGGGAATCCCCTTTGACCCATGCATGTCAGGAGAACCGATAGGGAACAGTTCAGTAAAGACAGCAAATGCCTGACTGAAGTTCCTCTACCGACAAGCACAGTGTCTACCTACTGAGGCACAGTGTCGACCTACTGAGGCTCGCAGGACCCTATGTCTAGCCCTCATACAATGTCATATGGACTACGCTTGCTCTTCATGGTACTCTGCCTTGACAAAACAACTGAAAGATAAGACTGCGAATCACCCAGAACAAAATGGTAAGATTAATCCTGAACCTGGGACCAAGAGAACATATAGGCCACGATGAATTACAACAGTTGGATATGCTGAATGTTGAAAACAGAGTAAAACAACTGAAGTTCAATCAAGTCTATAAAATTGCTCACAGTGTCCAGAATATCTTGCCGCCAAATTTATCAAGGTTGGGAACCAAAGTAATCATAGTACTAGGGGGAGAGAGCACAACTTTGTAGTATCCACAGTCAGTGGCCAGGCTTCAAACACCTGTTATTGTACAGTAATAAAGAAATGGAACAGACTGCATGCACATGTCAAAGCCAATCATAACATGAACCAGTTCAAGAAGAGAGTCAAAGGGTGCCTAATGAATGTAGCGACAGAAAGGGAGGAGAATGATTTTAATTTTTTTAGCTAACATACATGTAAATATAAATAACTCATTCTAGTATATCTCCTTTCTAGTATAATAAGATATCTCCTTTCTAGTATAATAATGAGGTATTAAAAGGATCCCAATGGAAATAAGTCACTTTGACTTTTCTGGGTTATCCTAGGTTCTCTAGACATTTATAGTTATCTTTGTAACTGTAGTTGTGTATACCTGAATAAACTTACATAAGCTAGCTTATACAACTACAGTGTTCGCTGAAGTACGATACGTAACAGATGTGTGTATCACCGGCAGCGAGAGTGGCACCGGAAGTGTGTACCTGGTGTATGGGGTGGTCACTTCCCCCACCACCACCACGCCCCACGCCCACTCACCGCTCGTGCACCACCCACGCCCACATCATCCAGGTTAGTAATAATAATAGTATCTTAATTTCTACAAGTACATGTACAAGGTATCCTACATGTACAAGGTATCCTACATGTACAAGGTATCCTACATGTACAAGGTATCCTACATGTACAAGGTATCCTACATGTACAAGGTATCCTACATGTACAAGGTATCCTACATGTACAAGGTATCCTACATGTACAAGGTATCCTACATGTACAAGTTATCTATGTCAAGGTATCCTACATTGTACAGTATCCTAATGTACTAAGGTAACTGTACAAGTAAGGTAATGCTACACATATGTGCTTATTATATAATTTATGTAACATATTTGACATTTTATTGTGGCAACGTTTCGCTCTCCAGGAGCTTTGTCGAGCTTGACAAAGCTCCTGGAGAGCGAAACGTTGCCACAATAAAATGTCACATTAGTTACACTTGTGTCCTTTTATTTTACATATTGTCGGTAATTCTACCAACATTATTACAATTTATGTAACTGTATTTATGTGTACTTGTAGCTTAATAAACTTATAGGCGTAGCTAATATCAATTACATACAAGCCCCTTGCTATACCTTGTTATGCAGAGCATTTCGGGCAAATTAGGCCAATTTTGTCCCAGGATGCGACTCACGCCAGTCCACTAACACCCAGGATGCGACCCACACCGGTCGACTAACACCCAGGATGCGACCCACACCAGTCCACTAACACCCAGGATGCGACCCACACCGGTCGACTAACACCCAGGATGCGACCCACACCGGTCGACTAACACCCAGATACCCCATTTTATTGATGGGTGAATAGAGACAACAGGAGTCTTATGAAAGCTCATCCTAATGTTTTCCAGTCGTACAGGGGATCGATCTCCGGACCTCAGTGTGTGAGCTGAGTGCGCTAGCAGTCCAGCTACAGAACACCTATGATGGCACTACACTGTACTCACCTAATTGTGGTTGCAGGGGTCGATTCATGGTTGTGTCAAAGCACTGGAGCTGCAGCTTCAATACTTAAGTCAAATATATAAACTTCTTTATGTCAAAGTTTTCAAAGTAGTAATGTCAAAGAAAGATTGTCAAAGTGCTTTAGTTTTGATGTTGCTATCCAAGTAATAACATTTGTGTCATTACTGGAACTTTTAATCTTCTAAAGTTAAATTTCGGTGGCAAATGGTCAAGTTATGCTGTCTAGATATTATTATTATTATTATTATTATTATTATTATTATTATTATTATTATTATCAAAAAGAAGCGCTAAGCCACAAGGGCTATACAGCGCTGCTGTCTAGATATTAATATCTTAATGCAACTAATAAAAATATTACTTCATATCAAGGTCATCGAATTAACGTAATTCAATTCATAGTTTCATAGTACAGAAGTCTTTAAAGTTTAGTGTTAAAACATAATTAAAAAGAACAGTTTTAGTCTCAGAATATAAAAGATTAACTTTGTGATAATCAAGCTGCAAAATATCAATATATATAAATGTGAAAAAAGCCTTGTCCACTGGATACATATTCACTTGTTTTGGTCTACGGTGAAGGAAGCTAACAAATATGTGGCTCTCTCCTTGCTTTAATTTATAACAACTAAAATACTGAAATGTTCACGAGACCCATTTAACAAAATATCAGTGTTTGCGTGGTTCTCTTGGAGAAAACTCAAAACATTCGACAGTCTCCTTTCAGCCAAAGATCCAAGAGCTTGTGTACTTATGCAGATAAAAAGACGAAGATTAAGCCATCCTTCAGTAAGAGGCTGAAATAAGTGAATATAGCAGCAGTAGACTTGGGGCCTCACTCTAAATAAGTAATGAATATCCCTTGTGTGTGCAGGTGTAGTGGTGAAAGATACATAGTAGAGTACGTGGCTGTGGATCACCATCCAGACACTCTACATCACAGCCCCAACAACTACCCGAACCACGTCCCCAACCACTATCCAAACCACAATCACCTGCCCACACTCCCCAACCACCACCAGCAACACCTAGAGCAGCAGCAACAACACCAGCATCAGCAGCAACACCAAGACCAGCAGCAACATCACTACCAACATCAGCAACCACGAAAACATCAACACTCCAAAGGGTCACAGATCTTGAGGAGTGACTCGTGTCCCCCTGTCTGGGAGAAGCCAACAGCTGCAGCCTCCTGCGGGAGACGTGGTGAGGGACGTTCCCTCACAGACCTGCACCAGGTGTGGAGGGGGGAGATGACAAGGGAAGGAACACTTCCCCGGTCTCACCATAGAAGAAGCACGTATGGGGGCACCTCATCGGAGGGGAAAACCCTGCCTAGGGTAGTCTCCATGGAAGGAGGAATGTTCATGGGATCCTCCATGGAAGGAGAAATGCCCATTAGACCGTCCATGGGAGAGGGACCCCCAGCTAGGGGAACCTCCATGGAGGGAAGAACACTTCTTAGGGGAGCCTCCATGGAGGGAGGTGCTGCCTTCGTGGAGGATGGCCAAAGATACAGTTCCCTGCCCCGGGGAGGTGCTGTGAGTTGGAACATGGGAGGTTCCCCACCTGGCCCCGGCTTTCTAGCCACTACTACAGGTGGGTCATGCCCCGCCTGTATGCCTTACTGCGACTCTTGTTGTTATTGCTGTTGTTGCCCTGTTAATGTTGAAGGAAATACTCGCAGCTGCTTGACCCGCCAAGCTGAGCCCACCCTTCCCAAGGGCGACTCTCCTTGGCTACCCATGGCGTGCACTGACACCCACACTTCGCCTATGGTGTGCACTGACGCCCACACCTCGCCTATGGTGTGCACTGACGCCCACACCTCGACTATAGTGTGCACCGACACCCACACCTCGCCTATGGTGTGCACTGACACCCACACCTTGCCTGTGATATGCGCTAACACCCACACCTCTCCCATTCACGCTCACCTAAGGTGCCCCTCCAAGCACAATCCAAGGCCCTGCCACAACCCACACTGCTACCAGCAGCGTTACCACACACACCAAGAGGATGACACTGACCACATACTCCGACGCACCACACCCGTCTAACCTCCCTTACAAGCACTACGGCTCGTAGCTCTGCGTTGTTTTTTGATAGCTTTGTTATATATACTATACCCATCCTGTAGAAGGTAGGCACAATATGACAGAGGCGCATAATGGGACCAGGAACTGTGTACTCGTGTAAGGATAGCTAAGCAATTGCAGAGGTAACGAACTATTAACAAAATCTGATGATTATAATCGTAACAAGTTGATAATGCAGACACAAATTTAGACACAAAGCATTGCAATGTAGTTTGTTTTTGTAGGATATGGTTAAATTTTGGATGTCATCCATCGAGGACACGGCAAATATCCAAGAAGATATATAAACCAAGTTTTCCAGTGGGCAACGGAGAACAATATGATGTTCAATGAAGACATTTCAACTACTCCATTATGGAAAACTGGAGGAAATAATAACTAGAATTGAGTATACTACAAACTCTAATCACACAACAGAGCGGAAAAGTAATGTGAAGGACCTGGGAGTGGTAATGTCCGAAGATCTCGCCTTCAAGGACCACAAACAATGCCACTATCACATCTGCGAGGAAACTGATAGGATGGATAATGAGAACATTCAAGACAAGAGATGCCAAGCCAGTGATGATCCTTTTTAAATCACTTGTTCTCTCTAGGCTGGAATACTGCTGTACATTAACTTCCCCATTCAAGGCAGGTGAAATTGCAGATTTGGAGAATACACAGAGAACCTTTACTGCACATGTAAGTTCCATCAAACACCTTAACTACTGGGAACGCCTAGAAGCACTTGACTTGTACTCATTGGAGCGCAGGAGAGAGATACATCATAATCTACATCTGGAAGATCCTGGAGGGACTGGTCCCTAATCTACACGCAGAAATCACTCCCTACGAAAGCAAAAGACTTGGCAGGCGATGCAACATACCCCCAGTGAAAAGTAAGGGTGCCATTGGTACACTAAGAGAAAACACAATTAAGTGTCCGGGACCTAAGACTGTTTAACAGCCTCTCAACAGCCATGAGGGGCATTACCAAAAGACCCCTGGTTGTCTTCAAGAGAGAGCTGGACAGATACCTAAAGTCAGTGCCGGTTCAGCTGGGCTGTGGTTCGTATGTTGGACTACGTGCGGCCAGCAGTAATAGCCTCGTTGATCAGGCCCTGATCCACCAGGAGGCTTGGTCATGGACCGGGCCGCGGGGGCGTTGATCCCCGGAATGCCCTCCAGGTAAGTCAGGATATTTTTTTCTAGATCGGTAATATGTCACTGTGGATACAATAATTTGACATTTGAACATTTGTGAGTGAGTTTTCTCTGAATTCGTTTTTATTTTTTTACATTCCAGGAATCATTTTATTGTTGTTGCTTAAGATTTCCTGACAAACTATATATACTGTACGCGTACATGTATATGATTTTTCTGTGTTTTTCTTTCGTACTACAAATATTATGGCTTATGACCCAGGCGCAGCTAACAAATATATTTTTCACTCCTTGAATTTTTTCTTAAAGGCAATGTTAACTTGTCAAACAGACATTCTTGCCCCCAACTAATAAAACTTGCAGAAATTAATGTACTACTAAGTGCAATAATTCCTGTTGGCTCTGAAAACCAACAGGAAGCCGGCAACTTCGTCCCGGCCAACTTTAATAAAAGATATTGTTATTTGAGCAGTTTGTCAACTTGTTACAATGTGAGCAACTGGTGCGTGTGTTGCTCACTTGTGGCTCGCTGACTTTACCATTATTCTTGGCGATCCTTATGCAGGGCCAGGAGCCAAGCCTCGACCCCAGCAACAACTGAGGGACACAGAGAAATAGTATTAAATAAAATACCTACACAACGGGCAGAGACAAATGCTGTATAGTATTCTGACAACATTTCGCCAGCACAGCGATCCACTTTAACAAGTAAAAAATAAATCTACCTGAAGAGCGGATGAATCTATACATATGGTCCTCAATATAGGCTCATCCCCCCCCCCAGTAAATCTGTTTATTTAGAAAGACACGTAAGCAAACATTAGGGCATATTAGAAAACGTTTCGGTCCTGGTACCTTATCACATCTGGTTACAGTATCAGACTGTATGGTACAAACCTTGGTAATAAATATGTCCTAGTGTTTCCTTACGTGTTTTTCTAAACCAACTTGTTGGTATCTATTAGCAAGGTTTAAACCAGATCTATTTGTGACTTTATAAAGCTCACTGTGTGGACGAAACGTTGTCAATAAAGAATCACATTATACTGCATCTGAAACTGTTTACACTAATTGAGAGAGTGAGCTCATGCTTACTGATCAATCTTTGAAAGCCCATGTTCTTCATAACCCATAATATTCTCACAGTCAACCAAACTTTATCATAATAAAAATATTAATTTACAAAGTAATTTGCAGTGAAAGTCATTTACAATACAAAAATAATTTACAGTGATATGTATTATAAGGTACAAGGTCACTTACACCTGATATAATCATTCACAGTGAAAGCAACATGTGCAGTGACACACGAGACATTATACTAATTCACAATAAAATACCTAATTCCATAAAATTAAATTTTGTTTAAAATACAGTAATTTGTACGTCATGAAATACAATAATTAATGGTAAAATGCAATCCTTTAAAGCGGAATTTTTTTTTATAGTGGAATACAGCCATTTACAGTGAAATAGTCATTTATAGTTAAAGTCCTTTACAGTGCAAGTCATTTATAATGAAATAGTCCTTTACAGTGAAATAGTCATGTATAGTAGTGAACTAAACTGGTTTCTTTACCAGTACGTCGAAAATTATTGCCAGAATTACATAACTCAGCTCCTGTATCACAACGCAGGCCAGAGGACCAGTAGCTGTACCTCAACCCACGCCAGAAGCCCAGTAACTGTAGCTCAACCCACGCCAGAAGCCCAGTAAGTGTAGCTCAACCCACGCCAGAAGCCCAGTAAGTGTAGCTCAACCCACGCCAGAGCTTCAGTAACTACCGCAACCCACGCCAGAGGCACAGTAGCTGTACCTCAACCCACACCAGGGGCCCAGTAGCTGTACCGCAACTCACGCCAGAGGCCCAGTAGCTGTACCTCAACCCACACCAAGAGGCCCAGTAGCTCACCCACGCCAGAATAGCATCTCAACTCCAATAAGACTTTAAGTCAAAGTTTTCCAAGAGGTCCAGGAGCTGAAGATAAACACTACGGAGGCCCAGAAGCTGGAATCCAACCTATTCAAACACTGAAAATGTTTATGCAGTAACAGAAAATTAAGGCAGCGCCAAGACGCATGGTACTACTGTATAATCTATGTGATTGTACATGCGTCCGTGTTTCACGGACTAACACACCATGAAGCACATCAGCTACAGCTGCTGTAAATAATTTTAATACATAAGTTTATCGGTTATAATTATAACCTTAATTTTTAAAGGGTGACCGGAAAGCCAGCGGGAGGCCTCGGTCAGGTGACCAAAATTATAATCAAAACTAAGCGCTAAACCCACATGGGTCATACAGCACTGCCAGATGACCAAAAGCTCCAGCTGTGGATCATCATATGATTAAGACGCGTCAGGAAACACTTAACCGGTTTCTTGACAAACCTTACCTAACTTAACCTTAATTCATAACATTAATGGGTCGTCGACAGACTGAGACTCGAGTCAGGACTGTCCTAACCAATATTATAACTAATTCATAAGAATACGTCTACACCAAGAGCATATTTCTCAATGTATATATACGAACGTTTACTTTAATTACTTTTAATTAGAAATTAAAATGCTTTTAACTAGTGGTAAATAATACATGCAGCTTTAATGGCCCTCTTGTAGTCGACAGACTAAACTCCATTAATCAACTAACCAAATTCATAAATACCTAAAAAAAAACTGAAGGTATTTGTTAAAGATAGTTTATGAAAGTTTGAGTACTCACCCGATGGCAAACTTTTATAACTGTCAAATTTCAACATACTGTAAAAGAGGTAAATTCATTTTTTTTTCTTCCCATAATTGATAAATGGTTAACTTTATTTCTACAAAGTACAATTTATAATTGATTCAAGATTGGTCGACATTACTGACGTATCCTATAGAAAGCCCTGCAGCGCTGTATAGCCCTTGTGGCTTAGCGCTTCTTTTTTATTATAATAATATAGAAAGCCCTTAGTTATGTAGAGCATTTCGGGCAGCCTTAAAATAAACTTATAAGTACTACTGGATTTTTTGCTAAACAGTTTGTCATAACGTTTGTGGAGGTTATTACAAGTGTTGGTGAAATACAAGTATAAATACTTTTCTATTTCAGTATTATTGCAAAGGACATACAAAAATCTTAAGGCCCTGAGCATACATCTTGGGCAAAACTTACACTATATTATGTACTTAAAATTTAGTATTTTATTTTATTTTTTTCAAGGCTCTAATACACAATAAGAAAATATAAATACAATTATCTATTTTAGCAGGGTGAGTGGTACTAGTTACTTAAATTACAATACAAATCGAGACAGAATAAGTTTATTCAACAATATATAACAGTTGAAAGAAAGTTGACACAAGAACATGGATAACATTAGATGAAAACAGATGGTTTCAGGATTTATCATATTATACTGTTATCAAGATTATATTAAGGTAAGGAAGTGTTTTTTAAGTATTGTGTTAACTAAATGTGCTGTAGTTAAATTGTTGATTTGCAGCAATTTAACTACAAAAATGTGCCAACTTGTGTTTTGTTCAATAAATGAACATGTTATTTATCAATGTTTATAATGCTGAACAGCATAAAAATAACCAAGAAAATAGTATTAATATAGTTGAAAGAATAAGTTGTTTTATTACCTCATCTGCCCTGGATAGTATTCGATTTAGGGGCTCCAGTTTTTTTACTGATTAAATTTTCCAATATTATTTGGGGTGTCCCCTCAAGGATGGTTCCTTGACTCTGGCCCCTCTAGGGAGGTTCCTTGACGCTGGTGAGGGGCTCTTGATCTAGGAAACTGGATCTGTGCTCCGGTTCCCTGAACTGAGTCCAAATACCTTCCAACCCCCTCCCCCAATGCGCTGTATAATCCTACAGGTTTAGCGCTCCCCCATGATTATATTATATAATGACTTAAGAAATCGTAATGACACGATTGCAAATAAACCATACCCCCGGCCGGGATTGAACCCGCGGTCATAGAGTCTCAAAACTCCAGCCCGTCGCGTTAGCCACTAGACCAGCTAGCCACAATAAGATTCATCCAACTAGGTATATTTCTACACCATAGGAAAGTTAGCACAGGCACCTCTGTGACCACAAGTGCAAGTTTTTACAGACGAATCTCCAGCTAGCGTGGCCGTGACGAACTCTAGCTCAAGTCCTTCACTGCCGTCAACATGACTTAAGAAATCGTAATGACACGATTGCAAATAAAACCATACCCCCGGCCGGGATTGAACCGCGGTCATAGAGTCTCAAAACTCCAGCCCGTCGCGTTAGCCACTTAAGTCATGTTGACGGCAGTGAAGGGACTTGAGCTAGAGTTCGTCACGGCCACGCTAGCTGGAGATTCGTCTGTAAAAACTTGCATTTGTGGTCACAGAGGTGCCTGTGCTAACTTTCCTATGGTGTAGAAATATACCTAGTTGGATGAATCTTATTGTGGCTAGCTGGTCTAGTGGCTAACGCGACGGGCTGGAGTTTTGAGACTCTATGACCGCGGGTTCAATCCCGGCCGGGGGTATGGTTTATTTGCAATCGTGTCATTACGATTTCTTAAGTCATGTTGACGGCAGTGAAGGGACTTGAGCTAGAGTTCGTCACGGCCACGCTAGCTGGAGATTCGTCTGTAAAAACTTGCATTTGTGGTCACAGAGGTGCCTGTGCTAACTTTCCTATGGTGTAGAAATATACCTAGTTGGATGAATCTTATTGTGGCTAGCTGGTCTAGTGGCTAACGCGACGGGCTGGAGTTTTGAGACTCTATGACCGCGGGTTCAATCCCGGCCGGGGGTATGGTTTATTTGCAATCGTGTCATTACGATTTCTTAAGTCATGTTGACGGCAGTGAAGGGACTTGAGCTAGAGTTCGTCACGGCCACGCTAGCTGGAGATTCGTCTGTAAAAACTTGCATTTGTGGTCACAGAGGTGCCTGTGCTAACTTTCCTATGGTGTAGAAATATACCTAGTTGGATGAATCTTATTGTGGCTAGCTGGTCTAGTGGCTAACGCGACGGGCTGGAGTTTTGAGACTCTATGACCGCGGGTTCAATCCCGGCCGGGGGTATGGTTTATATTATATAATCCTTGACGCTGGGGAGGGGCTCTTGATCTAGGGAATTGGATCTGCGCTCCAGTTCCTGAAAAGCTTCCATACCCCCCCCCCCACAGGCGCTGTATAATCCTACGGGTTTAGCAATGAAGTCAGTTATATTTTTGGGTCTGTAGGAAGAATGTGTTTTTTTTCGGTAAGCCCCTTAAAATGAGTACCCGAACCTAACCTAGAATTTACTTCTAAATCTAGGTTAAGTTAGGTTTCATAGAACAAGCTACTAGGCAGGATAATGTAACACTTTTCTGTCTATAGAAAGAGGCGTTCACACCTACACCTCGAGTACCCCAAGACTCTTACCTAAGCCCTATTCTAAGCAGCATGTACGTTAATGACCTTCCCTAATCTAAGTACAGAAACACCATTATTATCCAATTTACTGACGACGTAATACACATCGTGTCTACCCAAGCTGGCAGAAACAACACTCAAAAGTAACTGAGATTATTATTATTACAACCAGAACTAAGCGCTAAACCTACCAGGGTAATACAGCACTGCAGGGTAGGATGTGCTAAGACAGATGGACGAACAGCTGAGAGCCAACTGAGAGAAGAAATGGAGAATTACTGCCAATCGTGAGAAAGGGAAATAAGCGCTAATGGTTGTTACAATGGAGGAATTACTATAAAAGACGCTCCCATTGCTATCAAAAAATCACAAATAATATATTGGGTAACGAGGCTACTGCACTCTACCACACACGTCAGTGACAAGGTTAACTTACAAATAAAGCCAGTCTTCTCTAGCTGTTTAGATTCCATCAGGTTCCAATACACATCAAGAAACACCTCTAAGATAACGATACGCCCAATACTGTAATATTCATGTGTACTCGTCACTTACTCTCAGTGGAAATAAATTGAAGGACCCAAACGGAAATGTCACTGACTTTCTTGGGGGTTATCCAAGGTAATTTACACTATGTATGATAACTGTACTTATGTGTACCTGTGTCGAAATAAACCTACAAGCTGAAACTCCAGCGTCCAGACCCCTCAAGGAAGGTTCCTTGATGTTGGTGAGGGGCTCTTGATTTAGGGAATTGGATCTGTGCTCCAGTTCCCCAAAAGCCTGAATGCCTTCCACATCCCCCCCCCCAGGCGCTGTATAATCCTCCGGGTTTAGCGCTTCCCCCTTGATTGTAATTATAATCCAGCGTCCAGAATAAAGCCCTCCGTTTTAACTCTGACACTCAGCTGAGAAACAAGAGTTCGAATGGAGGACCTCCATGCACTGGACTGCCGCCATTAACATCATATTCGACAAACTCTAGAAACACCAGTTGTATAGGACGAGCGACCTCTATTTGACAATGAAAACCCACCCCAGCCGATCAGCATCAGACTATGATTTGTGAATCCACAGGATGTCCTTGCAACAGAGTACGACGTTACAGTCACAATGGCGGCTTCCCAAGGCTGTCACATATATTAGTGGTCTACCAGGAGATATTGCAGATTGAAATAATCTCCGTTCATAACAGACAAATGTATCACTACTGTGACACCCAAACATACCTGAATACATCAACACCATGAAGACCACAGTGGGCAGGACACAGCTGAGGGGTAGAACACCGTGCCCAACACGTGGCAAACAGTGATCCTCCTGCGGCTGACTTGCGCCAACAAACCTTCTCAACTGCCATCTTCTACAACAACGAACTTGGCAGCACAAAAAATTAGACCCACGCCTGACGTACTACTATTTATGTAGACACCTTCTCTGTGTACACGTGCATTAGTACTGGACAGTGAGGTATGCAACCTCCTTAAATTTAATGACTAAAATATAAATCACACACAAGTAAAAATCTAAAGTGATTGGGTTACCTATCTTGATACCCCCCTCCTCCCCCACCCCTCAAGGAAGGTTACTTGACGCTGGTGAGGGGCTCTTGATCTAGGGAATTGGATGTATGCTCCAGTTCCCTGAATTAAGCCTGACTATTTTCCACAGGCGCTGTATAATCCTACGGGTTTAACGCTTCCCCCTTGATTATGATAATCCTCCTCTTCTCCTCACGCCTTTATCAATTTCTATCCTCTTCTATCTTTCCTTCTCCCCTTCCATACAAGACCTTCCATCGTCGTTCGCTCGTCCATTTTCTTAGGTTTATTTAGGCACAGCTTCTTCATTATCAAAAATATATCTTTGCACAGAAAAAAAATAAACTGTCTCCATTACACAATCCACTGGATACTAATTACAGAATTTACATAATAGGCTAATGCCAAACTCAAACTCAAGCTTTTGATCCAAGAAATTGAACCTGTTCTCTCTTTCCGTGGATCGAACCTGTGGCTCCCATTCCCCAGGTACTGTATAACCCATAGGAGTTTAGTGCTTCTCTAAATATGATGACGATGTATGACTCCTATGAGTTTAGCGCTTACCCCAAAATATAATGATAACTACATGCATTTCGATTGTTAGATAAGAAAAAATAAGATTTTGTTCGGATTTCTAACCCCGGAGGGTTAGCTACCCAGGAAAACCCAAGAAAATCAGTGTGTCATCGAGGACTGTCTGTCTTATTTCTATTGTGGTCCTTAAATCTTGTCCCCCAGGATGCTACCCACACCAGTCATATCCACTTGTTATGAGGGAGAAGAGTTGGACTCCAGATGGAGCTGCCTTCTTACTTCCACTAGTGGATCCCGTCCCCTACAAAGTCTTCCAGATCTTCCACCTCATCTTCGACAGTATTTAAGATTCCGTTTTCATGCTTCAGCTTCATATAGTTCCAGACCCAATAAGATGAACTCTTCTCTAGGCTGAGGGATTGACCACCTCAAATACTTTTTTTTCAAGGTTGAAGGACTGAGTACATCATCTTTATTTCATTACTACTGCTCGCTTTGTATCTAACTGAAGAAGTCTACTGTGTGGGCGAAACGTTTCATGAATAAAGATACCCAACTGCTGCACGTGCATCAGGCAAATATTTTATTGACCGCGTCCCGGGGAGTTGCGTTCCTCGCTGCGGTGTTTCTGACCAGAAGAAAGCTCCTGGGTCTTCTCAACCCCGTCTCACCTTCTTCACAGATGCTAGCTTTCACAATATCCCTAATCCCATTACCTAATATAAAATAATATTAATGCCTGAGGTTACATTATTAATTCTAATATTATTTGCTAACAATAAAAGCCTAGTTAAATACTTCTTAAGGCCTAAAATCTATCAATAATCTTAAAGTCCCACAGTTACTAAAAACAACAGACATAGCCCCACTCCACAAAGGGGGCAGTAAAGCAACAGCAAAGAACTACAGACCGATAGCACTAACATCCCATATCATAAAAATCTTTGAAAGGGTCCTAAGAAGCAAGATCACCACCCATCTAGAAACCCATCAGTTACACAACCCAGGGCAACGTGGGTTTAGAACAGGTCGCTCCTGTCTGTCTCAACTATTGGATCACTACGACAAGGTCCTAAATGCACTAGAAGACAAAAAGAATGCAGATGTAATATATACAGACTGCAAAAGCCTTCGACAAGTGTGACCATGGCGTAATAGCGCACAAAATGCGTGCTAAAGGAATAACAGGAAAAGTCGGTCGATGGATCTATAATTTCCTCACTAACAGAACACAGAGAGTAGTAGTCAACAGAGTAAAGTCCGAGGCAGGCACGGTGAAAAGCTCTGTTCCACAAGGCACAGTACTCGCTCCCATCTTGTTCCTCATCCTCATATCTGACAAGGATGTCAGCCACAGCACCGTGTCCTCCTTTGCAGATGACACCCGAATCTGCATGACAGTGTCTTCCATTGCAGACACTGCAAGGCTCCAGGCGGACATCAACCAAATCTTTCAGTGGGCTGCAGAAAACAATATGAAGTTCAACGATGAGAAATTTCAATTACTCAGATATGGTAAACACGAGGAAATTAAATCTTCATCAGAGTACAAAACAAATTCTGGCTACAAAATAGAGCGAAACACCAACGTCAAAGACCTGGGAGTGATCATGTCGGAGGATCTCACCTTCAAGGACCATAACATTGTATCAATCGCATCTGCTAGAAAAATGACAGGATTGATAATGAGAACCTTCAAAACGAGGGATGCCAAGCCCATGATGACACTCTTCAGGTCACTTGTTCTATCTAGGCTGGAATATTGCTGCACACTAACAGCACCTTTCAAGGCAGGTGAAATTGCTGACCTAGTAAATGTACAGAGAACCTTCACGGCGCGCATAACGGAGATAAAACACCTCAATTACTGGGAGCGCTTGAGGTTCCTGAACCTGTATTCCCTGGAACGCAGGAGGGAGAGATACATGATTATATACACCTGGAAAATCCTAGAGGGACTAGTACCAAACTTGCACACGAAAATCACTCACTACGAAAGCAAAAGACTTGGCAGACGATGCAACATCCCCCCAATGAAAAGCAGGGGTGTCACTAGCACGTTAAGAGACCATACAATAAGTGTCAGGGGCCCGAGACTGTTCAACTGCCTCCCAGCATACATAAGGGGGATTACCAACAGACCCCTGGCAGTCTTCAAGCTGGCACTGGACAAGCACCTAAAGTCGGTTCCTGATCAGCCGGGCTGTGGCTCGTAAGTTGGATTGCGTGCAGCCAGCAGTAACAGCCTGGTTGATCAGGCTCTGATCCACCAGGAGGCCTGGTCACAGACCGGGCCGCGGTGGCGTTGACCCCCGGAACTCTCTCCAGGTAAACATATCTTTGGGTATATCAGCGGGCTGTAAGGGCGCGATACAACACTCGCCATTATTACTTGTACTTCTACTACTTCTAATAATAATATCTTTATTTACTACAAGTACATGTACAAGATATACAGACCATAGTTGACATTAATGACATACTACCATATAGAAAGCCGCTTGTTGTAATAAGATAAGATTTTCTTCGGATTTTTAACCCCGGAAAGTAATAATGTGTTTGAAAGCCACACTAAAACAAAATCTATCTAAAAAATCTCGTTAATTACAAGACACTGTTACCACTATTTATATTTTCTTCATTCTTAAGTTATATTTTTCAGAGCATGTACTTTTATTAATTTCTAAGTTGATATAAAATTTAAAATGAGTAGGCAATGTCTATGACATTTTCTTCCCTTGTGTTAGAACCGGCTAAGTTTATAGCGTGCTTTTCTGTACATTTATATCAGTGAACAGTTTAAGTAATATTCTCACTCATTACTTTGACCAGTAATTCACAAAACATCAGTTGTGTGTATAATAAAATGTGCTATGAAGAAGTATACCACATATCAGACACGACGCCCGTCAGCAGTGACTCACTGAAAGAACTAGTTAGGGCTTATTTGAATTTTATCAGTAAACCTGTTTAATAACCATATATCCCTTTCCACCCATGTTTGCTTCATTGTTGCTATGATAAAAGAAAGCCCTGAATTTGTTATATATTTAAAGTTTTACAAGAATAAAAGTCACAATCCCATGGTTGGAACAAGTCACAAATAAGCCACCAGCTGGAAGCAACACAATAAGTGTCTGAGGCCCAAGACTGTTCAGTTGCCTCCCAGCATACATAAGGGGGATTACCAATAGACCCCTGGCTGTCTTCAAGAAGGCACTGGACAGGCACCTGAAGTCAGTACCTGACCAACCGGGCTGTGGGTCGTATGTCAGCTTGCGTGCGGCCACCAGTAACAGCCTGATTGATCAGACCCTGATCTATCATGAGGCCTGGTCTCAGACCAGGCTGCGGGGGCGTTGACCCCCGAAACCCTCTCCAGGTGAACTCTCCAGGAGGGTTAGCCACCCAGGATAGCCCAAGAAAGTCAGTGCGTCATCGAGGACTGTCTAACTTATTTCCATTGTGGTCCTCAATCTTGTCCCCCAGGATGCCACCCACACCAGTCGACTAACACCCAGGTACCTATTTGCTGCTAGGTGAACAGGACAACAGGTGTAAGGAAACGCGTCAAAATGTTTCCACCCGCCGGGAATCGAACCCGGGCCCTCCGTGTGTGAAGCAAAAGTTTTAGCCACCAGGCCACTGGGCAAATTAGGTCAGTTTTGTCCCAGGATGCGACCCACACCAGTCCACTAACACCCAGGTACCCATTTTACTGATGGGTGAACATAGACAACCCGCGTAAGGAAACACGTCCAATGTTTCCACCCCTTCGCCGGGAATCGAACCCGGACCCTCCCTGTGTGAAGCGAGTTTATGCCACCAGGTAAAAGGAGTATAACAAATGGGTGTACATGCCAGTTAGTTTAATATCTTTATTGTGTATAAAAGCACCTTTATATGCAGAACATTTCCGCAAACTTAAGACTAACTTTAGATTAAAAAGGCAATAAAAGTGCAGTAATTTTGTAAATATGGTAATTAAGTGAGTTTACAATAAATACTGTGGCCGCGACCTTAAAATATTTACGTACGGACCCGGCAGTGGTATTTTTTGGTACAAATAATTTTCCACAAGGTACGATACGGCTCTTGAAGCCCAGAGAAAGTGGACTAATAGCGACCGAAGAAGAGGCGGGGCCAGGAGCTGTGATCCGACCCTTGCAACCAAATATAGGTTAGTTATAAAATATTGTCTACTAGCAGGGACTCTCGGTGTGCTGTTAAATATCAGACAAATTTGTAAAAAAACTGTTCCTTGCGAAAATTAATTATTATTATTATTATTATTATTATCATTATTATTATTATTATTATTATTATTATTATTTATTATTATTATTATTATTATTATTATTATTTATTTTTATTATTGTTATGTTTTATATTGTTATTATTTATTATTATTATTATTATTATTATTATTATTATTATTATTATTATTATTATTATTATTATTATTATTATTATTATTATTATTATTATGTTTACTTTGTAATTAATATTTTATAACATGTAAACCACACACTGTAAGCTTTGCAAGGAAATAAACATTTTTTTTTTTTTTTTATTTCTTTGTTGTTGTTATTCCCCTCAAGGAAGGTTCCTTGATGTTGGTGAGGGGCTCTTGATTTAGGGAATTGGATCTGTGCTCCAGTTCCCCGAATTAAGCCTGAATGCCTTCCACATATCCCCCCCCCAGGCGCTGTATAATCCTCCGGGTTTAGCGCTTCCCCCTTGATTATAATAATAATAATAATGTTGTTGTTATTATTATTATTATTATTATTATTATTATTATTATTATTATTATTATTATTATTATTATTATTATTATCATTATTACTATTACTATTATTATTATATAGAAGTTCCTTGATGCTTATATTCTTTGTTTGGTTGCAACGTTTGTTAGAATACTTAGATAACACCTCCGGGAAAATTTATTGCAATAAGTTTATATTTTATTTCAAGCAAATATATTTATTCTTTCATGCACTGCAATTATAAGAAAAATCGGAACAATATATTGAGTGTAAATATTTTTCAACCATTAGTAAACAGTCCAGAGACGCAATTCCTTCACTTCCCGCCCTTGACAACCTAAAGTCCATAGTATGAATTACATGAGTAATGATGAAAATAAAATATGTTCTATTAACTAATAAAACATAAATATTGTACAGGAATTTAAACAACAAGTTTGTAGTAATTTTTAAGTAGAAATTTATTAAATTGAAACTGTTTTGGAAGTAACATAGTGTTTAATTTGAACATTTTATGGTGACGTCATGAAGTGCGCAGAGTGTATGCGCCGTCTCAGGAAAACAAACAAAATGAAGTCTCAAGACAGCAAAGGCCTCTGGGCTACTCAGACGGAAAAACCTATACATTATACGTATGTGAACGTGATATTAGTGGTAGAGTGTGCAGATAAGTGAGAAATTGAGTGCAGAATGCAATTGTGTGGTTTTTGTGCTGATTTCGCACGATTCTTTCCAGATATTTGAAGGAATTTCGTGTGGAACAGTGTACGCTCTTTCTGCAGCACAAGTGCACGCAGCATCGCCCTTATACTTGTTTTCACTGGCACTTCCTTAACCAGCGGCGGCGCCGACCCATTAGAAGACGGGATGGCACCTTCAACTATTCCCCCGATGCTTATTGCAATAAATTTGACGAAAATACCGGCATCTGTCCAGAGGGAGACGAGTAAGTGTTGGCCGTAGCTTCTTCCACCTCCTTATTATTTATTATTGACCTCTATTTCTTACTTTATTTTCCCAGCGAGAAGCCCATAGCGGCCATTAATGTAAGAGATAGGAGGAACATCCAGAAATATGCCAGCTGCGGCTGAAATAAATATTCCGAGAGGAGACTTTGGGAACAAAGAGCTGAGGGGGAGTGGCAGTGTTTGTAAACACAGCTGGTGAGGTGCCGCCTCTCACCACCTGCCATCACTACCACCTGACATCACCACCTGCCATCATTACCACCTGACATCACCTGCCATCACTACCACCTGACATCACTGCCACCACCTGCCATCACTGCCACCTGCCATCACCACCACCTGCCATCACCACTTGTCATCACCACCACCTGCCATCACTACCACCTGCCATCATCACCACCTGTCATCACCACCTGCCATCATCACCTGTCAATCAATGCCATCCACCAACTCACTCTCTACCACTCTGACATCACCCTACTCCACCACCTCTGCACCAGCCACAATCCTACTGTCATTACTACTACTTGCCACTCACCCCCTCATCCACCACGCACCACCACACACCATGCCATCACTGCCCCACCACACTACCAACTCTGCCATCTACTGACCTGCCAGACAATAATGCCTTTCACCACACCTTTTGACTATTCCAGCACCTTCTCATTCACGCACACGCACACCACCCTTATGCCACTACGCAGCCTCCTGCCACATACCGCAACTGGCATCACTAGCACTGCCACACCACCACTTGGGCTCAGCTAGCCACCACCTGCCACACTATCCTGCCATCACATCCAGCCATATTTACCACTACCGCATCCAACCACCAGCTTCGCCACTCTGCCATCACATACCTGCCATCACCACCTCCATCACACTACTGTCATCTCAACCTGCACACTACCACCTCCATAATTCTACCAAGCCCTACCCCCACACTGCCATCAATGCCACTCCATGCCACACCACCTATCCCACTGCTATGCCACCACCACCACTTGCATACTCTGCACCACCACCAGCTATGCCCTATTGCCACCACTTTACGCCACTACTGCCACCACCTTACTACCAACTACTGCCACCACCAACCCTACATCACCTGCCACACTGCCACACACCACCACCTCTGCCACACACTGCACATACTGCCACCACCACCACCTTCTGCACACTACATGCCACCAACTGCCACACTGACCACTACTCCACTACTGCCACCACCACCACCTTTCACTAACTGCCACACACCACCACCCTCTGCCACCACCACCAACCTCTGCCACTACTGCCACCACCACCTCCTACTGCCCCGCCACCACCAACACACACCTCACCACACTGCCACCTACCACCACCCACCTCACCACTACTGCCACCCCACCACCTCACCACCTTCTACCACTACTCAGCCACCACCACCACCACCTCTACCACTACTGCCACCACCACCCACCATACCACTACCTGCCACTACTCCACCACCACCTTCACCACTACTGCCACCGCACCATACCACCTTGCTACCACTACCTGCCACCACCACCACCTTCTACCACTACTGCCACACCACCACTTCTACCACTACTGCCACCACCACACCTTTACCACTACTGCCACCACCACCACCACCTACCACTACTGCCACCACCACCACCTACCACTACTGCCACCACCACCCCAACTGCCACCCATTCTACCCACACCTGCCACCACCACCTTCTACACTACTGCCACCACACCACCTTCTACCACTACTGCCACCACCACCACCTACCACACTTAACTGCCACCACCACCACCTTCTACCACTACTGCCACCACCACCACCTTCACCACTACTGCCACCACCACCCACCTCTAACCACTACTGCCACCACACACCTTCTACCACTACTGCCACCACCACCCCTTCTACCACTACTGCCACCACCACCACCTTCTACCACTACTGCCACCACCACCACCTCTACCACTACTGCCACCACCACCACCTTCTACCACTACTCCACACCTACCACTACTCCCACCACCTACTACCACTACTGCCACCACCACCACTACTCACTACTGCCACCACCACCACCTTCTACCACTACTGCCACCACCACCACCTTCTACCACTACTGCCACCACCACCACCTTCTACCACTACTGCCACCACCACCACCTTCTACCACTACTGCCACCACCACACCACCTACCACTAACTGCCACCACCACCACCTTCTACCCACTACTGCCCCACCACCACCTTCTACCACTACTGCCACCACCACCTTCTACCACTACTGCACCACCACCCTTCTACCACTACTGCCACCACCACCACTTCTACCACTACTGCACACCCACCTTCTACCACTACTGCACCCACCACCTCTACCACTACTGCCACCCCACCACCTTCTACCACTACTGCCACACCACCACCTTCTACCACTACTGCCACACCACCACCTTACCACTACTGCCACCACCACACCACCTACCACTACTGCCACACCACTTACCATACCACCCACCTTCTACCACTACTGCCACCACCACACCACCTTCTACCACTACTGCCACCACCACCTATCTACACCACTACTGCCCACCACCACCTTCTACCACTACTGCCACCAACCACCTTCTACCACTACTGCCACCACCACCACCTTCTACCACTACTGCCACCACCACCTTCTACCACTACTGCCACCACCACCACCACCATTCTACCACTACTGCCACCACACACCACCTTCTACCACTACTGCCACCACCACCACCACTCTACCACTACTGCCACCACCACCTTCCCACACCACACTTACACTACGCCACCACCACCTTCTACCACTACTGCCACCACCACCACCTTCACCACTACTGCCACCACCACCACCTTCTACCACTACTGCCACCACCACAAACCTTCTACCACTACTGCCACCACCACCACCTTCTACCACTACTGCCACCACCACCACTTCCTACCACTACTGCCACCACCCACCCTCACCTACTGCACACACCACCACCACCTTCTACCACTACTGCCACCACCACACCACCCCTTCTACCACTACTGCCACCCACCACTTCTACCACTACTGCCACCACCACCCCTACCACTACGCCACCACCACCACCACCTTCTGACCACTCTGCCACACCACCACCACCTTCCACTACTGCCACCACCACCACCTTCTACCACTACTGCCACCACCCTCACCACTACTTCTACCCACTACTGCCACTCTACCACACCACCTTCTACCACTACTGCCCACCACCACCACTCTACCACACTGCCACCCCTACCACTACTGCCGCACACCTACCACTACTCCACCACCCACCTTCTACCACTACTGCCACCACCACCACCTTCTACCTACTGCCACACCTTCTACCACTACTGCCACACCACACCTTCTACCACTACTGCCACCACCACCACCATCTTCTACCAACTACTTGCCACCACAACCTACCCACTACTGCCCCACCACACTTCTACCACTACTGACACCTTCTACCACTACTGCACCACCACTTCTACCACTACTGCCACCACCACCACCCCACCTTCTACCACTACTCGCCACCACCACCACCACCTTTACCACTACTGACCACCACACACCTTCTACCACTACTGCCACCACCTACCACCTACCATTCTACCACTACTGCCACCACCACCACTTCTACCACTACTGCCACACACCACCTACCACTACTGCCACCACCACCTTCTACCACTACTGCCACCACCACTACTACCACTACTGCCCCACCACCACCTACCACTACTGCCACCACCACCACCTACCACTACTGCCACCACCACCACCTTCTACCACTACTGCCACCACCACCACCTACCACTACTGCCACCCCACCACCTACCACTACTACTGCCACCACCACCACCTTCACCACTACTGCCACCACCACCTACCACCCACCACTACTCTACCACTACTGCCACCACCACCACCTTCACCACTACCTGCCACCACACCACCACCACCTTCCACCACTACCTGCCACCACCACCTTCCTACCACTACTGCCACCACCCACCACCACTTCTACCACTACTGCCACCACCACCTCTACCACTACTTTACCAGCCACCACCACCACCTTCACTCTACCCCCCTAACTGCCACACATTCACCACCTGCCTCACACACCACTTTACCATACTGCCACCACCTCACCCACCCCCCCCACCCTTCTAACCACTACTGCCACCACCACCACCACTACCTTCTACCACTACTGCCACCACCACCACCACCTTCTACCACTACTGCCACCACCACCACCACCACCTTCTACCACTACTGCCACCACCACCACCTTCTACCACTACTGCCACCACCACCACCTTCTACCACTACTGCCCCCACCACCACCACCTTCTACCACTACTGCCACCAACCACCACCACCTTCTAACCACTACTGCCACCCACCACCACCTTCTACCACTACTGCCCACCACCACCCATCCCTTCTACCACTACTGCCACCACCACACACTTCTACCACTAACTGCCACACACCTTCTACCACTTACTGCCACCACCTTCTACCACTACTGCCACCACCTTCTACCACTACTGCCACCACCTTCTTTACCACTACTGCCACCACCTTCTACCACTACTGCCACCACCTCTCTACCACCCTTCTACCACCTTCTACCACTACTGCCACCACCTTCTACCACTTACTGCACACCCACCTTCTACCACTACTGCCACCACCACTACCTTCTACCATCCCTGCCACCACCACTACCCTCTACCACCACTGCCACCACCACCTACCACCACTACCTCTACCACCACCATCTGTCACCTCTTCTGCCACCAATACCTGCCATCTCATATCACTACCCACTTACTCCCCTAGCCACCTGTACCACTAACTCCCTAGCCACCTGTACCACTAACTCCCTA